AAGAGATAAGTAAAGGAAGTAGGACAGAGAACATAAAGGAGTCAGAGATAAGAACAAGTAAGTGTAAAAATGAAGAAGAGAGAGAATTGTAAAAAGTAAGAAATGGGAAATATACTTACAAAAGAAGAGCAAAATAATAATTTAAAATAGAACATGAATTAGAAGGAAGAGGAAGAGAGAGAGAGAGAGACGATGAAACAGAGAGAAGAGAGGAGAGAGAGGGGAGACTCTTCACCATCATCCTCCTCTCCCCTCACAGACCAGTAAACTCATCAAGCGCTGATCATCACCTTCAACTTGCACTTCCCTGGCCTGTGGTGGTGGTGGTGGTGGTGGTGATAGTGATGGGGATGTTGATGGTAGAAGCGGTAGCAGTAGTTGCGGTGATGTTGGAGGAAGCGGCGATGGTGATGTTGTCAGTGGTGGTGATTGTTGAGTGGTGGTAGTGGTGATGGTGTTAGCAGTAATAGTGGTTTTGGCGGTGACAGTTTTGGAGCGGATGATGACGGTGATAGCGGTGATAGTGGTAGTGGAGGTATCTACGATAGTCGTTATGGTGACGATGGTGGCTCTGACGGTGATTATGATCTTGTTTTGAGGCAACAAAGGTGACGACGATGAAAGCGACTGTGTAGGCGACAGTGTAGACAATGGTGTAGACAACGGTGAACCCGTCGGCGTATATACGCTCTGCCCACAAAAACATCCGAATAACTTCACACTAACAACCGATAAAAAGCTATAATTTCTTGCACACGAGATATTTACTTATTACACCAGCGTTACGCTAATTTATGTTGCATATAAGTTATGCAATTGCAGTACCGTGATCAATCAATGGTTTTTACGGCAGTTTTATGGCACTGAAATAATCAGAGAACATATGTGGCGTTTTTACAATGGCCAGCTCAAGTCTTGGAACAAAGCAAGTATATTCAATTAAAATTAGAATTAGAGCATTCGTCAGAATTAATACAAATCATAACATTGAGGACTGAACAAGTGTAACTCAAGTGTATCTCAAATAAAAAAATTTTTGCATAAATTAAATAACATTTAGCTTGCAATTTGAATAATGTTTATATATATAAAGTACTACACCAGCACTTTATAAATAAGTACCGGTGCTTAGTATTAAGTACTTGTATTGTTTCAGTCCTCAATTGCAAGAAACCTACAACAATAACCTGATTTCACGGTGATAAAACAAAACGAATACACGTTAATAACCACCAATTTCCGAAGAAGAACGGGATAACAAATCGAATTAGCAACCCCCCCCCCCCCTCCCATTACCAACGTAAAATAAATACCGAGATGGTTGAAATGTTCGAATTTCAACATGTCATTTACAGCACATTTCTAAGGTACGGTGTAGCATTGAAAGTTGGAATGTGTACGAAATGCTAGATGTAATCGAGAATGTAATTTCGTATTGATGTAAGGCGAAGAGTCACTCACTAAACACAATTAACATTTCAATAGCCTTTTCAATAAGCATTTAAATATCCTTGTTAAAGTTCTTTTCAATAAACATTTCAATAAACATTTCAATAACTATTTCAATAAGCATTTCAATATATATTTCATTAAACATATCGATATCATTTTCCATACACATTACACTATCTAATTCAATAAACATTTCAATTTCCATTTTAATAAACATTTCATTAGGCAATACGTACTTAAGTTAACTTTTCAATAAACATTGAAATTGTTCAATACCCATTTCAATCAACATTTTAATATACATTTCACTACGCATTGTAATAAACTTTTAAATCAAGATTTACAATATTTTCCGGTATTCTCACTTGAACGAATCGATACGAATAAACTTTCTGAAGAAATCAGTTATCGCAACAACAGGAGGCGAGAGGAAGTGATAACCTGATATCGTGATAACGAAGGTTAATTAGGTGACGGTAACTTAGGATAAGTTTATTAGTTACGATAGATTTGATTAGGAAGTTAGTTAGGTTAGATTTCAGTCAGCTTGGCTAGGTTACTTTGGTTAAGTTACGATAAGTTATGTTAGATTATGTTATCTTCAAGCGTTCAATTCATCACTGTTTTGTTCACCTGTTCATCTAACGCGCGGTCGTTTTTGTTTTCTATCGCTTGTTCATTTGTTCTGATATGGTGAAATTCAAATACGTTCTCAGACACATTATTTTTATAATGCATACAAAAGGGTTAATTCGCGATGTTCTTAGGATCTTGCGTTCGAAATCACTGCAAATATTCATAATTTAGCGTTCGAAATCAGGGTAGTGTACACATATTTTTACATTTATATTGTAATATTTATCGTATTTATTCGCGTAATTTAAAAAAATTGCGTTCACCTGTTCCAAAAATAGTAACGAGAAGTGTGTTCATATTATGACAAATGCAATATAATAAAAATAATAGCGTTCACTTTTTTTTTTTGTAAATGGCGTAAATGAGTTTCAATTATGTTAAAAAAATAGATCCGTCTTCTCTTTTTTATCACGATGCGTTCACTTTTGCTAATCCTTTCTGACATTTAACACGTTTCGCGTTCATATTCTGAGCATTTAAGTGACACTTTAACAATTATTTCACACGCAATGCGTTCGCAATATCTTTTGACAGCGCGTTATATATATATTTTTTGTACTATTCGTCTTTTTTCTACGACGACCCGCCCAAAACGTTCATAAAATTTTAAACGCATTGCCTTCGGGACACTTTAAGGGTAGCGCGGGTTCCCAATACGTTTTAACAGCGACGCGTTCAGAGTTCCTGTATATATACGCTTTTTAAAGGTATCGCGTTCACTCCATCTTTCATGGGAGCGCGCTCGGAAGTCCTTAAAGCCGAAGTCTTGGAACCTTAGTGTCCCAGAGAACGAGACTTAATTCAGCGCATTCAAGCTTATAACTAGGATGAGTTCTAATAATTTCAATAGCGGAGCCTTTTAATTATTTCAGCGATGCCGCGTTTTAATAATCTTAAACAGCTTTGGTGTTCTAATTATTCTCACGGAGGAGCGTTCACACACTCGCGAAAATGATCGTTGTTTTTGTTGTTGTTTTAGATTCAGCTACTTAGAACAAAAGTTCTAATGTAGCACGGGCTATGGTGAGCCCGTAGTGGACTTACCTGGCACAGGAGTGGGGCTGTATCTGCGGAAAATTATCGTTATAGCATACTCTTGACCGGGCGCTGATCGATCGCAACTACCTCTCGTTAACGACGGAACAGTTAGTGCCACAACGAGGCCCAAACGAGGTCGCGGGCACTGTCGTATCAGGCTATGTGGCACTGTCCTCAGGATAACAACTTTTCTGGCACTGGCGGTCGGGAAAGCGGCCCACCGTGGCGCCAGTGACGTCCTCTGTGAGCTTAACAAACTTCAGGGAGTTTAACCAACTTCCGTCACGACGGGCTCACCATAGCCCGTGCTACTTGGAACTTTTTGTTCCAGTTAACGAATCTTAAACAACAACAACCAACTTCAGTGAGCTTAACCAACTTCAGTGAGCTCAACCAACTTCAGTGAGCTCAACCAACTTCTAAAACTTGATCGAAAAACGAGACGTATGCGTCATCCGGCTCTGGAAAGTGTCAATACCATGTATTTCCTTCCCTAAAACGGAAAGTGCCACTCCGTTCAGCGGGTAATTACCTATGGCTTCGGAGACCCAGAAGTAAGTACTTGCCTCATGAACGCAGGTACACGTGTGTGTGTAAGGCGGAAGTACTTCCAGAAAGTATGTTCAAACCTTCTGAAACACCGTTATCATAACATATACAATATATGGTAATGTATACAGCTTAATGCAGTAGACACAAAACAGCAGACATAGAACAGTAGGAACACTACAGTAGACATAGAACAGTATGAACACTACAGTAGACATAGAACAGCCGGAACATTACAGTAGACAGAGAACAGTAGACATAGAACAGTAAGAACATTACAATAGACATAGAACAGTAAGAACACTACAGTAGACATAGAACAGCCGGAACATTACAGTAGACAGAGAACAGTAAGAACACTACAATATACATAGAACAGTAAGAACACTAAAGTAGACATAGAACAGCAGGAACACTACAGTAGACATAGAACAGCAGGAACACTAGAGTAGACATAGAACAGTAAGAACACTACAATAGACATAGAACAACACTACAGTAGACATAGAACAGGGACCACGAACCACTACCATCACTCTACACGCAGCTACCATATTGGTGACACCTGCCACCGCTGCCCGCAAAAAAAAAAAACACAAATCTATTGCAATAAAAAACATATACGCTTCGTAATGTTTCCGTTCCCCTTCTCCTCTTCCTCCCCTCTTCCCCTCGGTAGGAAAAAAGAATGAATAAATGACATAGTAAGACGAAGACCGATGTGGGGGATCTTCTAGCTAGCCTCTTCAGGTCACAATACCCAAACGTTTCTAAGACCTCCCCTCCTACCCCCCCTACCCCTCCTCCTCACCCTCGTTCTCACACTTGAGAAGATCGCTTCCGCTCTAAAAACAAAAACAAAATATAGATGCGTCTTAAATGAGCCCTTTCCCCCACCCCTATTTTTGTTATTTATAGTAAATACAATTATCGTAAATGGATTACGTACACAAAGTCGCAAGAATCAGTTGGTTTCTGTATGTCACGTGGTTTGCTGAAGACGGCAGTGTATTAGGAAAGCTGAAATTCTCACCGGTGTATTTAAGAACAAAATTGTGGGCTGTAATTGCGACAGGGATCCGGTACAACGTCCGGAACCGACCAAAATAAACCGTGTGTGTGTGTGTGTGTTTTCCATCGATTTCCAGGCTATCAACCCAAAACAAACTGGAAAAAAAGGGGAACTGACCCTAAGAAGTGACTTCGTGCGATTAGAAGAATTATTTGCACCGAGTGATCATAATCCTTTCGGGAGATTATCAAGTTATTTGAATAATTGGTTGTTGCGTGTGAGTGATGGTGGCGGTGGTCATGCGGAGACCCACCTGCCACGGTAGTAGGCGGAGAGCGGCGGCGAGTCGGCACGCGCCAGGCTGGGGTGCCGCCGACCTGCAAGTAAACAAGAAGCGGACACTGGGGGGAGGGGCCGGGCTTAGCTCCGCCCCGCAGCGCCGTACATCACTCTCCAGCATCACTAGCCCCACCCACATTCACTCGAGCGGAACATCTGCTTCTTTCCTCGGCGAATTTTCACCAAATGCAAGAGATTTTGGAGGTTCTGGGTGTTTTCCTGCGTTCTGCAACACGGTACAGCTACATCGGCAGGGCCAACTATGAAAATCATTCAGAGGAATGGACAGAACTAAGTCGGGACAGAAAACACCAACAGTATCCGTCTACGGTTCCTGTCCGCCAGCGCACCAATGAGATGACGGGATAGCATGACGTCACGCACGGCTAGGTTCCAACTTCAGGATGGACCAATCAGGTGGGTATGCGTTCAGTGGGCGGGGCTTGCCACTGTTGGTGGATCGTAGCGCGCAAGTGTACTTCAGTTGTGAGTTTGTAGGCAGGGTCGCGGTCAGACTGTTTGCAAGTCTGATCAGACTTGCTGTGTAATGGCTACAACAACTTACATCGCATCAAGTGCAGTGTGTTCTGATCCAGTCAGTGTGCCAGACTGTCTCACCATGAACATAGTGAACACTCAAGGGTACGGGCGTGAGGCCCACGAAATGAAGTACATGCCCCAGCACCAGGCGCCCATGGCCCACAACCCGTGGGTGGGTCTCCCTCCGTCAGACCCAAGTCACTGGGCCATGCACCCTCACCCGGGCCTCCATCAGGATATCAAGCCTCAACCTTCAGAAGTGGCCATCCACCACCGTCCACCCCATCACATGACCCACGGCTGGCAGACTCCTGTCTCCTCGCCCTACAGTAGCCTGGCGGCGGGTAACGGCGGGTCTCCGTTGGGTCACCATGCCGCCGCCTACGCCTCCATGAACGGCATGCTGCCCCATCAGATGCACCCTGGGCACCTGAGGGACATGCACTGCGAATCCCCCGTCACGCCAGATCACCACGTCCACCACGAAGTCGAGGAGGAGACCCCAACCAGCGACGACTTGGAACAGTTCGCCAAGTCGTTCAAACAGAGGCGTATCAAGCTGGGGTTCACACAGGCGGATGTGGGGCTGGCCTTGGGCACGCTCTACGGCAACGTCTTCTCCCAGACCACCATCTGTAGGTTCGAAGCTTTACAATTATCCTTCAAGAACATGTGCAAGCTGAAGCCCCTCCTGATGAAGTGGCTGGAGGAGGCAGATTCCACCACGGGCAGCCCAACGTCCATCGACAAGATCGCCGCCCAAGGAAGGAAGCGCAAAAAGCGGACCTCCATAGAAGTGTCGGTGAAAGGAGCCCTGGAACAACATTTTCACAAACAGCCCAAACCCTCAGCACAGGAAATAACACAACTGGCAGACAGCCTGCAGCTGGAGAAGGAAGTGGTGCGAGTGTGGTTCTGCAACAGACGACAGAAGGAGAAGCGAATGACACCTCCAATACTCGGCCAGGGGCCTGACGGCCAAGGTGTCAACGGTACCCCACCCGGCCCAGGACAACAGATCACGCCCACGCCAGACTACGGACAGCCCAGGTCAGTAGAGCTTCCCAGGGAACTAAAATACCCGGGCTACACTCACCAGACGATGCACGGCTCCCCTACCCACCTCCCGCCGCAGCACTCGCCGCCCGGACCTCTACTCTCACCACAAATGCCACCTCATAGCGTGGCGCCTTCGCATGCGGTTTCCCACTGATGGTCGCTAAACCTGTGGCAGGAGCCAGCGTACTGACCAGCAATCAGTGGGAGCCGCGAGTGCTCCCCCAGGACTCCACCTACCGCCCCTCGCCATACCCCCAGCCAATATTACCTGGGTTAATGGAGGGGTCGTGGCGCCGGCGTTCATTGAACGTTGACGCCGCTCCTGCCGGCAGTAGGAGAGTCCTTAAGCACCTCTAGTCCCCGGGCCGGCCAGCCTGGCCCTTCTTCGGGAGGAGGGCGGCCCCCGAGCGGCCAGATCGTAACACGAAGCCAGATATATTTACCAGGGAGAAACCTGGTGTGTCCATACGTGTGAAAACTCCTTCAGTGATAAACCTATTTTCTATAGACTAACCTCGAGCTGTGCTGAGGAAGTGTATAAACATGAACTTGTAGCAGATCCATCATTCCATACTTCGCCAGACATTCCATAAGTTAATGTGACTGACTCCTCGGAGCGCAGAGTCGCAGATTGTTGCTACGATTCCTCAGTGAGACGATAAGTAGTAGTGTAAAGACTGAGCTTCATATTACGTGTGAACATTATGTAGCGGTTACCTCGGAGTTTTTTGTGCGCGTGTTTGAAACATTCCAGTGGTGGTGAGTGGCGGGTGGCAGCTGCTGCGGGCGGGCTGCTGGGCGGCCGCCGCCCGACACCTGGCCCCTGTGGGCGGCCAGTGGGCGGCCCCCACACCGCCCACCCACACGCTTGACTCATTCTTATCACGAAATTTAAAAAGATTGTTTGGCGGTGCTGGCGGGTCCGGAATGTTGTGGGTCCGTCCGTGGTGACAAGGGGCCCCCGCCACCACCCCGCTACACGCACCGCTGCGCCTCCCAGCCCACCCTCGCCGCTCCTCACACGCCCGACCAGCTATTTCTATGTGGCAAGTAGAAATTATCTCTTGGGAACTATTTCTGTGAGTGGTGAGGGCAAGTGGCGACCATCTGGTGAGTGTTGTGTGGCCGCCCCCGTGTCCGCCGCCCCGCCACCCTGTACATAGTCACCCGTGTAAATACTGGAGAATCCGTGACGGTGTCCGCTAGCCAGCGCGCCGCACTTGTGATATGTCTCAAGAGCTGATTTTATAATAATTTCATTGTAATATATGTATCATTCATACTTAGATTAACCCCCTACCCCCCCTGAGTATATTTAGTTTGTGTTGACTGTCCCCCGCTGTTGCTAATACGTCGGAGCGGTCGAGGTGCGGTGGTGGTGTAGTGGTGTAAATATTGCCTCCGTCGCCGCTCCCTGCCATCCTTGCCATCGCTGCCGCTGCCATCCTTGCCGCCGCCTGCCGCCACAGTCGCGCCCCTCACCCACCCATGGCGTTGGCGGCTCACTGGCGACCCACTGCAACTTCTCAACCTTCGACTAAACCGGATTCCGCCGCGTCTGGAGCACCTCCTTGGATCCGGATAAGCTAATCCACCTTTGAGGCCCGCCGCCACCACCACCTGTGGTACCCGCGGGAAACCCGACGCCAGCTGGAGTGTCCTGGCGTGCGGGCCAGCTGTGAGGTGAGCTGCCTTCCCATGCAACACCAGCGACCCACCACTGCCCACCGCTCCTCTGCTACCCCCCTTCAGTCTCCCACCACTGACCCGTCGACACCATCTACTTCATCCGGGAGTGTGTTATGCTGCTCCTGCAGTTGCCTGCAGGTTGATCCTACCTCGTCGAGGGATTATTTCGGGTCCTGCAGGAACCATCTCTGGGGGTCCATCCCGGTGATCAGCGGAGGAGTGGAGTGGGTTGGGAGCGCTATTCATCCTCAACTCCTCAACGTCCAGCGGCTGCCCACCGCGTCAACAACAGTGGGTCTGGTGGGTGATGGTGCTGGCTGAATAGTGGGTCGGTGGCGGGTATGGATGGTCGCCCCACTGGCGGTTACAGTGGTGGTGGGTGAGGATGGCCGCCACCACTGTGGGGTAACCACAGTGGTGTGTGGGTAGCCACAGTGGTGGTGGGTGACACAGGCGCCCCCTGCTCAACCCCGCACCCTGTCTCTGTTTGTTATTAATGTTCTGAATGTCTGTAAGAGGCTCTAGTAAAGTAGCTGGACTCGTGATCCTGACCTCACATCACGACTACACGCCGCTATTACTGTTGTAACTACCATTACCACTACTATCGTGTAGCCCCTCACGGGTATATATTAAAAAAAAGAGTTATCAGGACTTATAATAGTGCTATAATGATTTCATTCATTAACGAAAACGTCTTGATAGGAGCAGAAAATAAATCTTTTTACACATGTGAACTTTCTTTGTGTGTTAAAGTACAAAGGATCACGTCAAAGAGGAATTGAATATCCACGTAAGAATTACTTGGAAATCTGTAGTCAAGAGATGTACATAACCTTGTATTAAACTTATTATGAATAATAAAAGAAAGATTTGTCTAAACACTGGGTTTAATTTTACACCAGAATCTACGATTTTGACAATGACATTAACAGTATAACTTTGATACAAAAATATACAGTATAAACTACTGAAGATCAGATAAAAAAGTACATTAAGCCAGTATAAATTTTCGTTTCTATGGAATTTCACAGGTTATATCAAGGTGATTAAATGCATTTAATATGGTAGTGAGCAAAAGGGATACATGATTGGAGCAACAGAGTCAAGATCGCAATGGGACACCGGAAGAAGATAATATCAATAAGTCTGAAAACCCGCAAGAAATGAAACCGAAAAATATTAAAGATAAAACCAAATGATGAGGTCGAGAAAAAAAATACAATATTTTATTTGTGTATTATCTCTTTCGCTGATATATTTTGTACTGACTCTGAACGCTTAAAAGCTGTCGGGGTGGTTGGCGGGAGCGCCGTGGGGCGGCAAATCGTTCACGAGTACTTGATCAATGTATCACGGGGAATTAACTCTTACTGCCTTGGTTATACGATCCTCCGGCACCAGGAAAACACCACTCTCTCCCCACCACCTCTCCCTCTATCACCCCCCCACCAACAACCAATTGCCCCTTCTGATTGCCGGGGCCCGAATGAGCTCAACTCTTAGTCTCAGCAGAGACTAGCAGAGCAGACAGCAGACTAGCAGACTCAGCAGAGCAGACAGTCGGGCATTTAACTCTTTGTCTCTCTCTTACACTCTGTGAAGCTCTGACAGATACGCTGGGCTATCTTCTATGTTTCCTTACATAACATTTCCCCCTAAAACTCCCCGGTTTGTGCATGATTTGTGTTATAAATAACTCGTTTGTGTACATGTCACATGTCGTTTAATATCGGTTTGTTTATAACGTTGTGTAACGTACGCAAGAAAACAAGTTTCGTTACTTAACTTCCTTGAAAGAACACACGTCACACAGATACCCAAAGAGAAAAAAAACGAGTATATATGACCATATGAAAATATTGTTATCATAGAGCCATGCAAGCTCACCCCCTTCTGAAGACAATTACCAAATACACACAAGAGAGAGCGTACATACAGAATGATAAACACACATATTGCAACACACAAACACAAAACAAAATACATGACAATACATAGACATGACAATACATAGACATGACAATACATAGACTTGACGATATATAGACATGACAATACACACAGACACACAATATGAAAATTTATACACATGGCAATACAAGCTAGACAATACATGCACACATGACAATATACACACATGACAATTCATACACACGATGGCAGCTGTCAACATCATTAAAATTATCATCATTAATTATGTATTTCAGTGTTTTCAAAAAGTAAATTCCACATTAGGATTATATAATACTATATATATAGATATAACATATATATATATATATATATATATATATATATATATATATATATATATATATATATATATATATATATATATATATATATATATATTTTTTTCAAATTCAAATTCAAATATATATATATATATATATATATATATATATATATATATATATATATATATATATATATATGTATATATATATATATATATATATATATATATATATATATATATATATATATATATATATATTATTTTATTAATAGGGAAGGGAGTACCACCTCTGGCTGGAAGAAGGGACCCTTAGCTTCTGAGGAAACCACACATAACGCATTAGAGGGAATGTTTAGGTCCCCTCCAATACAGTTTCTGTGTGCTTTTCTCCTACCACCCCCTTCCATTTGAGTTTTTTTTATTATGTATTTGAAGGTTACATGATATACATTGATTGATACAATATTGTTCCATTGACGTATATATATATATATATATATATATATATATATATATATATATATATATATATATATATATATATATATATATATATATATATATATATATTTATATATATAATATATATATATATATATATATATATATATATATATATATATACATGTTTATATTTATATATATTTTATATATTATGTTTATGTATGTATATATATATATATTATATATATTATGTTTATATATATATATATATATATATTTCATATATATATATATATATATATTTCATATATATATATATATATATATATATTATATATATGTATATATATATATACACATATATTATATGTATATATAAATATATAAAATATGGCCCATGCCTTGCATGGGCCAATAGGCCTTCTGCTGTTACCTTTATTCTGATATTATATATATATATATATATATATATATATATATATATATATATATATATATATATATATATATATATATATATATATATATATATATATATATAGTATTACTATATTTCAAACTTTGTATAAGATGAACCACCACATGTATTTTGAAGGGACCCTTAGCCTCGAAGAAGATGACATGCAGCATCCGGGAGCCTTGTCGGCCTCCCACATTTATATATCTATCTACACATTATTAATATATATATATATATATATATATATATATATATATATATTATATATATATATATATATATGGAAAGGAGTACCACCTCTGGCTGGAAGAAGGAAGAAGGGGACCCTTATAAATATATATATATATATATATATATATATATATATATATATATATATATATATATATATATATATATATATATACATATATATATAAATAAATATATATATATATATATATATATATATATTTATAGAAGGAAGAAGGGGACCCTTATCCTCGGAGAAAAGCACACACAACACACTGGAAGGGATTTTTAGGTCCTATCCAATACAGTTTCTAGGTTCTTTTATCCTACCACCCCCTTTGTGATTTAGCATCTGTAACACAGGTGTTACAGGCTTAACTGGTAGATTTGTTACGACGGTGATCTCTTGTTACATAGGTGATCTGATTCATAGGTGATCTGACACACAGGTGATCTGATACATAGGTGATCTGATACACAGGTGATCTGTTACACAGGTGATCTGATACACAGGTGATCTTATACACAGGTGATCTGATACACAGGTGATCTGATACACAGGTGATCTGTTACACAGGTGACCTGATACACAGGTGACCTGATACACAGGTGATCTGTTACATAGGTGATCTGTTACACAGGTGATCTGATACTCAGGTGATCTCTTGTTATGCAAATGAGTTTTTGCCACGTAAACTCTTGTTATCCACGTGATTTGCTACTCACGTGATCTCTTGTTATCTACGTGATCTCTTCTTATCTACGTGATCTGTTGCTATCAACGTGCTTTGTTGTTATCAACAAAATCTCTGGTTTTTCACTTGCTCTCCTGTTACCCACCTCACCTGGCACTATAAACACGTAATTTCTAGCCATTTTCTGTTTTATATCGAAGGTTCAGAAGTAAGCACTATTGGTAGATCCTTGTGGCTCCTGCCATTGATTGTAGGGATTCCCTAAACGACCGCAGTCTATGTCTAATTATCTCGTTACGCACAACACTTCTCACTCACGCGACGCAGGACGAGAAAGAAATATCATATAAATTCCATATTTTTAAATGTTTATGTCGCTTCCCTTTGGCAAGCGGTTGTATTTATGCTATTTTGGGCTTCTAAATAAGGCAGATTTCTTATTTGGGCTATTAACGAAGAGTTTGATTCCTTATTTGGGCTACTAACGAACAGTCTGATTTCTTATTTGGGCTACTAACGAACAGTCTGATTCCTTATTTGGGCTACCAATGAACAGTCTGATTCCTTATTTGGGCTACTAACGAACAGTCTGATTCCTTATTTGGGCTACTAACGAACAGTCTGATTCCTTATTTGGGCTACTAACGAACAGTCTGATTCCTTATTTGGACTACCAACGAACAGTCTGATTCCTTATTTGGGCTCCTAACGATGAACTGTTTTTAAAGAGGTTACAGCTTTGTGAGCTGTAATTATAGCTTATAGAACTGTATCATATATGTACTTATATCATATAGAACTGTATCTTATATGTATCATATAGAAGTCTGTTGGGACGATAATCTTAACACTGGGATATTCCCAGTTGTTCAACAAAGACCATTAACTTGTCTGAATTTGTTTGCAAGTTACATTTTTTGCTTTTTGTTTGCCTCTGTTGCGTTTGTTTTATATCCAGGTCGCATTATAAGCGTACAGCGGGTTGCACGTACGAGCCCTCGTACATTATATATGCGTATAATTAGAGGATATCTGAGTTTTAGCGTAATGTTGCGCAATATTACAGCCTTCAGCTGTAATCTGTTAATTAAGTGTTTGTTGCGTTATAAATTTAACGCTCAGCAGGTAAGAATTTTAACCTATGTTTAGCTCCTTGATCTCACGTGTTGCGGCGATAGATGGATTTTAACACGCGACGTTCGTATGTATGTACAGTATATATATATATATATATATATATATATATATATATATATATATATATATATATATATATATATATATATATATATATTGTATATATATATATTCGAATCTTTGCCATGTTTTCATAAGCATTGGTAGTCTTAAACTGTGTAGTAATAAGCTTAAGTTAGATCTACTCAAGCCTTTGCTGACCATTAAACACGATTGTCCCAGGATGTTTGTCTTATCCACCTGTGACACACACACACACACACACACACACACACACACACACACACACACACACACACACACTCTCACTACGGTTGAGAGGCGGGACCAAAGAGCCAGAGCTCAACCCCCGCAAGCACAATTAGGTGAGCAATTAGGTGAGTACACACACACACACACACACACACACACACACTCAAGGTGTTACCTGGCGATTTAAGGGTAACGGAGTCCGCAACTTTATTGCAGATATCTTCATCACTATAACCATCTTCCCTACACACTATACACACATCACTGTAACTGTCTGTCCTAACCGGTCACCGTAGGGGTACACCATCTACAGTCATAATGATCACTATCAGCTTCATTATAACTACCTTTCTTCTCTTTC